CCCCCCCCGACACACACACTTCCCAAGGCCAGATAGCAGCTTCCAGGTGATCCCCTTTCCCTCAGCTCTTATGTGACTGGAACCCGGCTGTCATCTGTGTCTTCCTGCCCCTCTGAGAGTTAGGAAAATTTCATTTGAACCCCCAATTCCTGGCCTGAGTCCAAAGCTCACCCCAACAATCCAAAGAACTACCAACACCCCCTCCGGCACTGTGCCCTGTGTCCAGCTGTGGCCCTCACCAGAAAGCAATCATTGCTGACCTCAACCCCATTGTCTGCATCTGAATCCTGTAACCAGCATTTTGTAAGGTCAGAGTAAACAAGGGTTTAAGGAGAGGATGGGATGCCTAGCCGCAGCTGTGATGATGGTGGTAGTGTTGCTGCTACTTTGTGCCAAGTACTATTCTAAGCATTTGCCTTATATTAAATCATTTAACCCCTTCAGGTAGCCATGGCTATGATCCCGTTTCAAATGAGGAAAATGAGGCTTAGAGAAGCTGAATAACTTAAAGTCACACAGCTAGGAAGTGAGAGGGCAGGATTCCAACTTGGCATTCTGGCTCCAGAGTCCATCTGTCCCCTCCAGGATGACCATATCTGCTTATGCTCGAGCCCTTCCAGTCTCCACGGCCACCCTGGGTGGTTTCCCAAGAAGTGTCCTCCAGAGATGCAGGTCTCTGCTTGGGTCCGAGTCCCAGCTCTGTCGTTAGCCTCTGAGGCCTCCAAGTGGCAGTTTCGCCTCTCTGAGCCTTGGCTTCCCTCCCTTTCAAATGAGGATGCTGGATCGGAAGCAGAGGCCCAAGGGCCTCCAAATGGCCAGAGCCCCGGGGCTGCGCTCCCTGCCCCCCAACTCACGCTCACGCTTGTGCCTGCAGATTCCATGTACATCGAGGACCTGGAGGCCGTCCAGAAGCTGCAGGACCTGCTGCACGAGGCGCTGCAGGACTACGAGCTGAGCCAGCGCCACGAGGAGCCGCGGAGGACGGGCAAGCTGCTGCTGACGCTGCCCCTGCTGCGGCAGACGGCCGCCAAGGCCGTGCAACACTTCTACAGCGTCAAACTGCAGGGCAAGGTGCCCATGCACAAACTCTTCCTGGAGATGCTGGAGGCCAAGGTCTGACGGCCTGCCCGCAGACAGACAGACCGACCGCTGAGGAGACCTCCACAGCCACCAGCCTCGTCCTTCAGCCCCTGTGTCAGGGTGATGGGCAGTTCCAGGGGAAGGGGCTCCTTGGCTCCGGCTGTGTGTACACAGACTCCTGGTGCAGGGGGTGGGGCAGAGGGTGGGGGGCAGGGGCGTGGGGCTCATCTGTAACCTGCTTTTTCTTTGGTATGTTTCCCTTCTTCATGGGCAGTGCTGAGGCCTGGGCCAGGGCTGCCTCCCCTTGGGACTGGTGACCACTGGAGGAAGCTCCCCTGGTCCCCCAATAAACCACCAAGAGGCAGCATGTACATTCCCTCACTCCCCATCCCACCTCCCCACCACGGCTGGGTGGGCAGTGCTCGGGGCCTACGATGCCAGCAAACTCCAGCAGGTATCCCCCAGAGGTCTTCCTTTCCCAGAAGTCAGGTGCTCGTGGGACAACAGCATCTGTCCCCAAAGGGCCTGCCTGCTCTGAGGCCCTGCACCTTTCACAGTCCAGCGACTCCCTCCCTCCGCCTTCTCAGCTCCCAACCAGGGCTCCCCACATGAGACAGCGGCCAAGGTACATGTGTTCTTCTGGTACTCTACCCCTTGGTGACCTTCATGTTACCACCTCTACCAGTACCCACCTGTTCTTCTCCCCTGCATCCCCAGGAGTCCCCCCACTGCCTCCTGCCCCTACCTCACAGCTCATTCAGACAGGGGGTGCAGTCAGCAAGGTAACTTCAGGGCCTTTAGAAGGGAACAGCACCAGCTCAAAGAAAAGTAGGGTCCAGGCCACACTCCCCAGAGCACCCTACCTTCCCCTCCTCAGCCTGACAGTCTTCAGGCAGGTGCAGACCAGGTGTGCCCATAGGCAGTGGGGAATGTGCAGGAGCCTGGACCCATCCAAGGCACCCTGGGCTCTGAGTCAATGTAACTGGTCCTGGGATGAGGGAGGCGGGATGAAGTGAGGCCCAAACTCATCTTTGATGAGCACAGAAAGTCCCAGAAGCAGGGAGAAGCGCATCAGGGAACCCCGAAGAGGAAGCTCAGTGGGAGTCACCAGCTTGCCTAGTCCATCATGACTTCCAGGGACAGTTGACACCAGAGACACCCTCTCCCCTGCATTCCAAAGGCTAGCCTGAGTGCCCCCTGGTAGGCTGTCAGAACTCAGAAGGTTTGGTATTGCTCCCCTGGGCACTCTGTGTGGGCCCAGGTCTCTGCCAGGACCCCACAATCCTGGTAATTTGTAGGGTGAAAGCCATCTCGATTTGCCCAGGGTGTCATCTTTTTAGCACTGAAAGTCTCTTGTCCCAGGAAACCCCTCAGTCCAGGGCAAGCCTCTGGGGGACTGCGGAAGACAACCTTGGCCCACTCAAGGGGAGCTCTGAGCCCCTGGTCTGTTGCTTGTGGGCTGGCTAAAGGTGGCTTGGAGGATCTCCCTAGGGTAAAACCACAATGTGTTTGGAAAATGTCCCTTCTAATGACATGCCTCTAAAGCCAGGATCAAAGCAACCCCAGGTGGGACACTTTTCTGGGGAACCCCAATTTCACTCTCCATTCTAACCTATCCTCCCCTCACCCTGGAGAGGCAGGCGGGCCCTGCCCTGTCACCAGGCACCAGGGCCAAAGCACCATGTACTCAGATGTCCTCTTGGTCCTGTCCAGGGGGCCAGCGCCTTCCACACCCCTCAGTGCAGCATTAGAAGGCAACAGCCTGGTCAGGGAAGAGGCAGGGTCTGCTGGTCCTGCCGCCCTGGCTCTGCACCTTGAAACCACTTGGCCTGAACTCCATGTTTAGGTCTTCCCAGACAGATGAACCTGCTGAAGCCTAGAGGCTATGGAGCAGCTCTGACTTTGTGCTCATGTATACACTTTCAAGGATTCCAAGACACCTCACGCACTGGTGAAGTGGGTCCCCTTCCCATCCCTTTTGTCCGCAGGGAATCTGAGGCCTGTCAACATCGAACTACAGTCCAGGATGCTTCCTCCCCCAGCTCTTCCTGCAGCCCCCACAAAGGTCCTGTTGTCCCTGGTCTGAGGGACACGTGCAAGGGAAAGCTCTTTTCAGCATGAATGAATGTGGGTTCAACCCAAATCTAACATAACCTGGGATGGGCCCCAAAGAGCCTGAGCTGGAGAAAGCTCACAGGAGAGAACAAGTGGTGTGCCAGTGGGATCCCCCAAGCCCCTCGTCCTGTATGCTCGGGGCCGCTTCTGCACAAGCATGGGGCTCTGGGCCGTCAGCCAGTGAGGGCAGGAGCTTGTGTACAACTGGCCCTTGGCCCATCTTCACTTGGAAAAGGCATCTCTGGCTAACTGTGCAACCATCATGGACCAGCTCATTGGGTTGGAGTGGGTAGGTGTCCAACACGGCGGTTTTGCCTCACTGGGCCTAGGGCTTCTACGATGCCCAGAGCTACAGCCATTCCACCAGGGTTTGGTGCTGATGAAGTAGAAGCAATTCCTATTGGAAAAGTGAATTAACAGTAGCAGTGGGAACTCCATCCAATGGGAAAGGACCTGGCATGTGCTTACAGACCCCATTGGGCAATCAGAAGAGTTAGGGGCTAACTTACATGGAAAGTGAGACAGATGTCAGATCCCTTGGGATGAGAGGGGACTGACTTCTTACTGGGAGATGGTGAAGTGAAAGTTTATGAGGTCCTACTACCCCAAACAACAAAACTCAAGTTTATCCACCAATCTGCCATTCCTGGGAAATCTGTAAAGAGAAAACTACCCTTCTCAGCTGTACTCATGATACAGGTCATTTGAAACCAAGAAATAAAATATGAAAGTCCAACCATGGAGAAGACGGTATTGGCTGGGTTTTGTTTGGTCCCCTCGCCCCCATCCTTTCTGGAGCTTCCAGACTGGTTTGTCACATGTCCCGATAGTGTCTCCCAATTTTTGCATAAAGGAAACTGATATCTCCCAGGCCACAATTTAAGACTAAAGGCAGAGGTTTTCAAACCCAGAGAAAGGTGTTGGTTGGGAGGCTGTGGCCAGGCCCAGAGGAGTCAGAGCCTGCACTGCTGGGTCGGGGGCCACCCCTCCCTTCAAACTCACCTCTCTGTGTGCAGAGGAAAGAAGTGGGAGGGTGACAGGCTTCTGACAAGGAAATGGACGGGCCCAGAGCCCATGCCCATGGAACAGCACCAAAGAAGAGCTCTATGGAAAGATCATTTTATTTTCTAATAATATACGGCTGGAATGGCTTCTTAAGATGTATATATTTTTTAAGATGGCAGTCCCTCATTGCAGCATCACTCATCTGTATGTGTCCCCGCCTCTGTATATGTTCCCCCCAAGACACCTGTGTAAATCAAGCACCCCGGGATTCCTCTGTCCTGGTCCCATGTATCTAGAATCTAATAAATAAGGAAAGGCCGGTTGGAGAGTTTCTTCACACATCTTTTTGGACTCACTGTCCTGGACACCACTGTCCTTGGGTCTCAGACATACAGGATAGGCTGTCAGGAGAATCAGTTCAGCCTTGGGTTTACCTGGGGAGTCACATGGGCATTTAAAATGTGTATTCACAGCAAAACTGAGGAATGCAATTTGAGGAATACTATGCAAGGAAATTTCCTCCGTGGCTTTGCCCCTCCCTCACCATGGCAACCCCATGTGTTACAGAGTGGAACTGCTCCACAGGGTTTTCTTTCTTTTTTATTGTGATTTGGGTGAAGATTTACAGAGCAAATTCACTTTCGATACAGCAGTTCACATATACTTTGTCTCATGTCATTGGCCACAGTTTACCACAATGCAACAGCTCCCTTCCCACTTCCCCCCCATAGTCACCTCTTCCCAGTGTCCATCCCTCCATACACTCCTGCCCCCTGAGCTGTCTCCCTGTGCATAAGCAGCCCCTTCTTTCTCCCATGATTGTTCTCTCCAAGGAGTGTATCTACTTGAGGTAAATGTTTAACTCATATGCCTATATATTTTTTTTTGGCTGAAAACCACAGGTGTGGGTTCAATTCCAGACCTGAAGGGCAGCTAGGGGCCATAGTCTCAGTGGTTCCACCAGGCTCTATCAGACCAGCAAGCCTAGTCCCCCCCTTCTTTTTTTTTTTTTTTTTCTCCAAATGATTTTGAGTTTTGTTTCCACAGGGTTTTCTTGTCTGTAATCTTTATGGGAGCAGTTTACCAGGGCTTTCTTCCATGGAGCCACTGGGTGGCTTCAAACCACCAGCCTTTCAGTTAGCAGCCGATCTCAAACCATGTGCACCACCCAGGTATACGTTTAATATTAGTGGTGAGAAATTTATCTTCGTTTACGCTGGAGGAACAGAACTTCAGATACATAGGAACCAAAAACAGATCATTGCCTTGGGGCTGTGAAATGCATGTGTGTTCACAAGTAACTATGCAACACAGAGTCCATGTGTCTCACAACCCAGCGAGGACCGGTGCGAGGCAGAGATGAGAGGCTGAAAGAGATCAAAGGACTCTCAGGATTTCTTCTGTTGCAAGTAAGAGACACCTCAGCATATACTGGCTTGCTGGATTTATTGCCTTGAATATATGTGAAGTCAGAAATGGGATGGGCTTCAGGCACGGTTTGATCTAGAGGTTTACAAAGTAGAATCCAAAGGCTCTGTTTCTCTGATTCTGTCAGTTCTGCCTCTTCTATCTATTAGCTTTGCCAAGGCTAGCCTCCCTCATGGTAGCAAGAAGTATGGTGGGATATCTGGCAAGTCCTCAATTCACATCCTAGGGAGCTTTTTATTTCACACCCTGGGGCAAGAAAGAGACAATCTCTTCCCATACCTATAGAACATTTCTGGGCTTCATTCTGAACCCTTCTAGTTTCTGCCTTACCCTTAAATCACTTGGACCAACTGAGGGTGAGACCATTCCCACCCAAAAGCCTAGCTGCTACACAACAGGAAAAGCATAGACTGGAAGTCTAGGAGACACCCAGACAACCATTTTGCCCACAGAACCCACATACACAGACAATTCAGGGTCTGGTCAACTTTCAATGAACTGAACTTCCCAG